TAATTGCTATTACCGTCAAAAAAACCAGATCAGCACTTATTATTGCATATTATTTAAATTAAGAAATCAGGTTTTGTTTAGATTATTTATATTTTATTTAATATTGTTTGCTATGTTTATTTAATATATATATTTTATAATTTATATAAACATATATATTTAAATTTATATATATTGATATTTACTGTTTATATTAACATTATATATATTGTCTTTATGATTATTCTTTAAAGATAGAACATGTTCTTGAAAAGCTCTTATATATAATTTCCATCTTTTAAATTATATTGACTCTATTGTGAATTTTAGAAACTCAGAGTAAACAGGTTTAGTTAATTAGTTTTTTAGGAACCAATTTATTTTTTATAAATGAAATTAATTTAGGAGGTTATTACTAATATTGATATATACAAATATATATGTATATATATATATATATTTATATTAAATTAATACAGTGTAAGATTTTGAATTTTTTGAGCAAAATATTTTATATATTTATCAACTTTTCTTAATTTTTGATTTATTTATTCTTTAATTCTTCTATATATGGTATGTCTTTTATTTTAAACAAATCAATTAAATTCAATATAAACTAAAGATGTATATCTTAATATAAATCTATATTATTTTCATTTTATATCTAATAATCTGATATATCATTTAATAAAAAAGAGTCTTAGTTTATTTAAGATTCGATTTTTTAGTCTTATTGCTTTTCCTTTAAACCAAAAGAAAACTCAGAAGCGAAATGTTCCTTTGATATTTTAAAATCTTCGCTTTATAGTGTTTTTAAAAGATCCTCATTTTAAGTTTAAAGTTAATTATATTATTAATTCGATAGTTTTTCATTTAAAGATGAAATCAAAGTGTAAATTTAGACATATAGAGTTTATTTTTTTAATTAATTTATATTAAAACTTAAAAATTCTTTTAAGAAAATATTAAGCTTATATATTTCTTCTATATTTTAAATGTTTCTTTTATTCATATCTTCTATTAAAAGTTCTTATTAGTCTATATGTTCGTTATATTAGATTATAGATTATTTTAAAATCTCGTTTTGTTTTTAAAGGTTAGAAATCTAAACTTGTTAGTTATTTAGTTAACTTTGGAGTTAATCTAGCATTTAGTTGTCAATTGTTAATGTGTTACTTGAAAAACTTTTACATAAATTAATAGAACTTAAGTTTTAGTTCATTTGTTTCTGATTATTAGAAGGGTTTTATATGTTTTTTTAATTAATATATATATAGTTATGCTAAATAAATAAATTATTTTAGTTTGAAAATATATATAATTTTGAAAAAAATTATTATTAGATTTGTTGTTTAGTTAATATTATTAAAATTAAAACAAAATATACTAATTTATTAAATTTTTAACTTTTCATAAATAAAAATAATAGGTACTTTTCTTAAATTATATTGTATATAAATATATTATATTTTAATATAATATATAATTAAATATTTTTATGTTTAAAATATATATGTAAAATCAAATAAATTATATATAATTATTGATTATAAAAAGAAATTTCTATAATGATAATAAAAGATATTATTATATATAATAAATAATTATATATAAATATATATATATATATATATATTTTTTTTCATATTTTAATAAAATGGTTTTTTATAATAATTTAATTAAAAGGCTTTAAAAAATTTAAAATATAGTTAAATAAAACTTTAAAATAGCTTAAAAAGAATAGAATAAATTTATTTAAAATATGTAGGAAAAAAGCAAATTATTAAATGAAAATACAATTAAAGATTAAATAAAAAAACAGAAAAATAAATTATCACAATTTAAAAATTAATTCTTGTAAGAGATAAATAAAAATGAAAATTTGAGACAAAACATCTAAAATTTTTAAAATAATAAAATTAAATTTAACAATAAAATATAATAAATAAATAAAGTAATTAGATATTAAAATATAAATGAAATATTTAATATGAAAAATTTTCATAAATAAAAAGAAAATATATAATAAAAGCTTTAAAAAAAATTATAATAAATTTAATTAAAAAAAGAATTCGATAATAATAATAATAAAAATAATAATAATAATAATAATAATAATAATAATAATAATAATAATAACAATAACAATTACAATAACAATTATAATTTTAATTATTAAAATTATAATTAACATAACCTTAATAAAAATTTCTAATAGAATAAAAAATATGAATTTATATCTTAGAAAAAATATAAAATAAAAGTTATTAGATAATATTTAATAATAAAGTATTTATTTTTTAAAAATAAAAGAATAATTTTAATAAAATCTAATTAAATTTATTAATTAGTCTTAAAACATTATTGATTAATAAAATTAATTAAATAATTTTTATAATTAATAAAATAATAGTCATAAATAATACACAAGATTTTAAATTTATAAAAGTTTATTTTAAATATATTTTTTTAAATTTTTAATAAACTTTACACGAAATTCTAGACTTTTAATCCTTATCATAGAATCTAAATTAAAATATAAAAATAGATTTATTCTTTATTTATATACTTTGCAATACTTGTTTTTATTTATGGATTAGCAACATCTATTCCACGTGCAATTAAAGATTATAAAATATAAAAATAATAATTAATGTTATAAAATCAATAATTAGAATAAATTAATAAAATTTATAATAAATAACCGATAGAAAAATAGAAATAGGATAAATTATGAAATATATATAAAAAAAATATTAATATTAAACAAATGATATTTTCTTATATACTTTAATAAAGATATTTATTTTTATTTAGTAATAATATAAATATTTTTTAAAAAATTAATAAAAAATAAAATATTTTTTTAAACAAAAATTTAATAAATTATGAATAATAAATTACAATTTTATACTCATATTAATGTAAAAGTATTTATTAAAAAAAATTGGTTGAAAATATATATTTTAATATATATATATATATATATATATATATATATATATATATATATATATATATATATATATATTGTTAATAAATATAAATTTCTTCTTAATATTTTATAATTTAATCTAATACTTATATTTAAATTTTATTTTATTTTTTAAATTTTTTTGAATATTCTTTTTAAAATATATATTTTTTTAATAAATATTAATATTGTCATTTATTCTTATATATTATTTTATTTTAATTTTTAAATAAAATAAAGTTATAATTAATAGAAAATCATAAATTGTTTATATTAATCTAAATTTACATTATATACAATTAGTTTTATAATTTTATAATATATTTTATAGATTTTTGATTTTATTACTTATATTTATATTTTATAATAAACTTATCGAAATTTAGATGTTTATATATTTAAAAGCAGATAATAAATATATATTTTAAAAATGAATATAAAATAATAGCACTTTAATTGTATTTTAATTTATACAAATAAAATAAATGCTATTTTTTATAAAAAAAATATTAAAATGAGTTTATATTATTTAAAAAATAAAGCTTTTTATATATATATTTAAAACAAAAAATATTACATATTAATTAAAGATCAAATTTTAGTTTTAATTTGATTAAGTTAAATCCAATTTTCTAAATTATATCCTAAAAAAAATATATATATAATATATATAAATATATATATTATATATATTTATATTTATATATTTATATATTTATAATATCCAATTTTACTTTATTTTAAAAAATTATTAACAAAATCAACGTCTTCTTAAATCGATTTATAATTATGAATATTTTATTAAAGGTAGTAGTAATCAATATTTATATTTTCTTATTTAATTATTTTCATGAAATTTTACTTTACATTTACATGCTATGTATTTCTTTTTATATAAACGTCTTCGTGTATAATTTATTAAATAAACTAATCGGTTTATAGCATTAATAACGGATTTTAATTTATATAATTGGAATGTTTATGGCTTTTTTAACTAATTAAACTTGAATGTGAGTTATTCTTTTTAAACAAAATAATTGAATTTTCTTTAGAAGCGTTTTCCTCTTCCGAAATTATAGATATACAATCATATTAATCATACTTTATTTTCTAAATATTTTATTTTAGTGAAAAATTCTATATATAATTTCCCTAATTTAGTCTTACAAAATCATCTTATTTACTGATTTATTGACTAATATTATCTGTTTCATCTATATTTTCGTGTTTATTAGAGATTTCGCGTTATTTTTATGTAGAAGAGGAAGAAGTAAAGGAATTATTATTAATATTTTCGCAATTTTCTTCGTTTTTTTATTTTTTTTGGGAATTTTGTTAAAAATCGAATAATTCTTGTAAAAACTTTTCTTCTTTGAAAAAAAACTCAGATTTATGATCTAAATTATTCAATAATTTCATTTAATCGATTTATTATTTAAAAATTTCCTCGTTTTTTTTCTTATAATAATTTTTTTATTATATATTATTATTACTTTCCTATATACTTTTGTTCTATTTATAAAATAATTCAACATCCTATATACTTGAATTAACATTAAAAACATGTATTTTACCCAATATACGTTAATAATTAGCAATATTTACTACATATTACCCTACTTTGTCCAAATTTAATGAAAATTCTTAGTTTTCGTATAATGGATTGGATTCTTCTTCTAGTAAAGGGACTTATATTATAAAAAAACGAGGGTCTGTAGTATCATATATGGAATCATAGGAGGATTTGTTAGTCTTTATTTTCCAAGTTATTTTTGTACCGGAGGTAATGTATATTTTTTTGGGAATAAAACGGAAATTTTCAAGGATTATATGGACTTCGGGTTTGTTAAGGAGAATATTGTTTTTATTTAAGGTTTTGTGTTTTTTTTATTTTGTTTTTTACATTTTTTATGGCAAAATTCCTTTTTTTTTTTTTTTTTATTAATAAAAAAAAAAGGAAAAATTTTTTTTTTTTTTAAAAAAAAAAAATGAAAAAATTTATAAAAAAATATAAATTGATTTTTATAAAAAAAAAAAATAATATATTAATTTTTTTAAAAAATAAATAAATAAATAAATATATATATATATATATAAAAATGCAATAAATAAAAGATGCATTAAGTTAAGATATGGAAGATTTTTTAGGAGAACAAAAATGGGAATAATAGATAAAAGAATCGATATCTGATTTATTAGAATATAAACCAGAAAAGCCTTTAATTCATTTATACGAAAAATATTCGATAAAATAAAGGCTAGAACCATAAAATAAATTAATACTATTAATAAATGATATAGCTAGTTTAGGTTTAAAAATAGATCCTTTATAAATAAATTTTACATCTTTTTCTAATAAATTACTAAATATTGTAATTGAAAAATATTAAATGAATAAATTAAAAAGTAAATAATAATGAATTATTATTATGAATATAAAAATAAATATAGATATATATATAATATATATATATATATATATATATATATATTTATATATATATCTTTATATTATATAGAAATCGATATAATGAAATGTGTATTTATAATTTTAAATGAAATAAATAATTATAAAGAAGTAAAAGATTTTTTTATAAAAAAAGCTTTAAATTTTTATGAAGATTTACTAAATGTAAATACATAATGCGATATTTTATATAAATCTATAATATATACAAAATGTATACAAGAATTATTGTAAATCTTAGAATTATCAGAAACAAAAAGCATAATAATATCGCCTTAAAACATTATTAATTTCATAGAAAGTATAAACGAAGAAAATTAATCTTTGTATAATATATATAAAAATTATTATAATTATATATATTAATATTAATATTTATATATATATATATTTATATATATATATTTATATATATATATGTTTATTTTTATTTTTAGAAATAGAAAATATAACACTTAAACACTTTTCGAGAGATATTTTCATTTAGACATTAAAATAAATATAATTTAATATTCAAATTATTTATCCGATCATATATTAAATATAATTCTTTAATGAACTTATATATTTAAATATATATATTTATATATATATATATATATATATATATATATATATATATATATATATATATATATATATATATATATATATTCAAGATATTTAAACTATATAATCTAAAACTCCATACTAGGTATTGGAACCAACATTTCAAATTAAAAGACCTTAAAGCCACACTACATGTGACCCACTATCTGTTACCATCAGAATAATATTTTAATTATATAAACATTCGTCTCTAGGTAATCCTTTTTCATGCGATATCATATCATCTTTCGATGAAAGGCAAAAAAGAGGAACTCTTACATTTAAAATTTAATTAATACTCCCGAATTTCCTATAATATGTTTACACAGTGGGATATCCATAAAACTTTATAGCCACATTTTTGTCAAAATCATACACTCGTTTAGCCTAAAGTCCTTTTTCTAGGTTTAAATTCCATTATTTTGGGCATTTTTCATATATATGCTTTAATTATTATAGTTTTTTAGTTAATATTTTGGCAATTATATAGTCATATATGGTATTATATATGAAACTAGAATTAACAGACATACAGTATGGATTAGAGATTGAAACACCTCCATTTATGTAGTTTTTATCGTTAAATTTTCCCAAAGAATTCACTAATTAATTTGCTCCATATGAATGTCCGATTCCATAAATTTTCTATATTGTTTTTTTTTTTAAAAAAAATAAATAAATACTTTGTATTAAGGATATTTTTCCTTTATATATAGTAGTGTTAATTATAAATCTGACATTAAATCAATGTATTTTTAAGAGTTTTTGAAAGATAGAGTCTACGAAAAGAGTCTATAGTTATATATGACACATTGGTAGCCTTTTTATAATACTAATGTTACTAATTCGCTTATGTAAACATCATTTTCATCTCCTGTGAGGCCTGGTAATATAAAAATTAAGACGTCAGAGTGTTTAAAATCATTTATTTAACTATGGTGACACCATGAAAGAGAGATTCCTTCTATTTTACCTTAAGGATCGAATACATTTTCCCTTTTAAAACTTAGTTTTTTGTTTGTTTTGCAAAAAAGTTATTGGGCTATTATTTGTTAGAGGCATGTTAAAAATAAAAAAGGAGGCTAGTATTTACAATTTTTAATAGAGGGACAGTTATTCAATATTTCTTGGTTAAATTTAGTAGGATTATAATATAGAATAGCTTTGTTTTTAGTAAAATATTGTTTAATGTAGTTTAAGAGGAAAATTAAGGAAAATGTCAATATTATTTAATTAAAATTTAAATTTAGTTCCCTAATAATAAAATATGAAAAGATAAAAATTGTAAAAAATAAAATCATTTTTATTATTTTTAATATAAATGTAGATTTAATAAGTAAATATATGTATATATAAATTCTTTATATATTTAATTAAAAATAAATATATATTTTATGCATTGTGTTAAGTATGATGTTTATATATATATATATAATTTTTTAGATATTTATTATAATAATTATATATATATATTATAATAAAATCATTATATTTTATATAATTTTAATATATATAAGTGTTTATTGTTTTTATAGTTAGTTTTATTAATAATACCAATATATATTAATAATTAATTATTAAATATAATATTTTTGTATGTATTTTTATATTATATAATGATTTAAATATTTATATATTTAAATAAATATATATATTCTCATATTTATATATTTTTTTAATTTCTATTTAATTTAATTTTGTTATAATTTTTATTTATTAATATTATAAATATATATATATAAAATTAATTTTAATTTTTATTTATATTTTTTAATTATATAATAAAGGTTTTATAAAAATATAATTATATAAAGCTTTTTAATTTTTATTTTTGATATTTTTTATATTAAATTTTTATTATTTAAATAAAATATATATATATATATATATATAATAATAATTTTATATAAATATATATTAGGTAATTATTTTATAAAATATTTCAATATTTAAAGTCAAAAATATATTTAATTTATTAATTTTTTAAAAATTAAACTTTATGAAAAAACACAAATTGTAAAAATATTATATTTTGTGATAATAATTCTTACAATAATGAAATATTTTAAATAAAAGAAATATTAAAAATAATATTTAATTTATTATTAAAAATTATTTTAAATTCATATAAGAAACATAAATTTATAATATATTTTTGGAATTATTTTCAAAATATTAATAAAATTTGTAATTACTAAAAGAAAAATATATCTTATTTTTAAAGCATAATTATTTGTATTTAATTATATATAATATATATATATATGTATATATATATATATATATATATATATATATATATATATTTATATATATGTATATATATGTATCTTTCTTTTCATTAATTTTATATTAATAATGATAATTTTCTTAATGCTCTATCACTCAAATTTGTTATCTAATTTTTTTCTTCATCCGAAAGTACTTCATTTTAATTTTTACTTTCTAAAACATTCTTTTTACTTATATAATAATATTAAATATATATTTTTATAATTATTTATATATATATTTTACAAATCTAATAAAGCTTAATAGCAATCCATATAATCATTACCTAATTAATGTAGTGATTTTTTAATTAAAAAGCATAAATCTTCTAATATTGATATAATTTACCTTTTATTATATAATTAAAATATTTATATATTTAATATATATTACATCACTTAAAGTTATTAACCTCTATGTATAAAAAGAATATCATTTAATTCATAAAATTTAGATTAACATTAAAAGAAAATCGCTCCTTCTCTTACTTATTTCTAAAAATATAAATAAATATATATTTTTTTAAAAAAAAAATACTATTTCTATTCCATTTTTGATTCTTTCAGTAGCCCATGTACATTCTTATAGTCCATATTCCTATAACAAATTTTAATTAAATATATTTATTTATATATTTAATAGTAATTACTTAAACAAATTAATCAATATTGAAATTTTAAATAACTTTTTTGAAGTTATTATATTTGTTTAAGCTTTCAGTTATACGTTTTGTATATTCTTATTCATTTATTTTATCGAAATTATAAAATTTTTCTATTATCTCTATTGTTCTAATTAATATGAACATTCCTTTTAATGATTCATACTTATTCTTGTATTATTTTTTATATATTTTTATTATTATATTTTTTGCTGTTTTACTTTTTCCTAATCTGTTAATTTTTAAGCTTAAAATTTATTATCTAATAAAGGATAGTTCATTTTTTTTTATTTTATAAAATCTATATTATTAATTTATATATATATATATATATTATACATTATTATATTTATAAATTATTTTTGAAATTAATAATATATATATATATTTTATTTTTTAAAATTTTAATTATTTTAATACAAAAATGAGTAAATAAAAAAAAATGATATAATAATAATAGTATATATATATACTATATATATATATATATATATATATATATATATATATATAAATGGAATAAATATAAAAAACATATATAGAAAATAATTAAAATCATAAGAATTAGAATTAGAAACTAAAAGAATGGAAGAACAATTAGAATAACTACGTATGTAAATAGAAATTTAAAAAAAGATGAAATCTGAATAGTATTTATAATCTAATGTTTTTATTTTTTTATAAATATATATAAAGATCAAATACAAGTGGAAGTAGATGGAAAGCTTCAACAAAAGACTAACCTATCAAAAGTATTATTTTTTATTATAAAAAATAAAACCCAATAATATAGATTATGCCAATAAGATTATTTCTGAATTTAAATAAACTTAAAAAATATAGATTATTAAAAATTAAATAAAGAATTTGGGTAAAAATAATTAAGTAGGACATAATAAACATAAAAACCGATATAGTCTTAATAGGAAAATAATTTTTAAACATAATAAATACCATTAAAAAGTATAAATAATTCATTAAATAATTCTTTTTCAAGTCAAAAATCTAATAATTCGGTTTAAAAAAAACATATGTTTTTATAAAGTTTTTTAGAAGAAATTAATTAAATTTAACATTTTTAAAATTTTATTGATTTTAAAATTATAGAAAAAGATACAATTTTATGTAAAAATATATATATAAATAGCATATAATTCATAAAGTCAAAATATATTTAATAATGTTATTTTTTAAGTACTTTTAAATGTATATATATATAAAAAGTGCGTATAAAAATTATGTATTAAAAATTTGCAACTTATATTAAAAAAATTATATAATAAAAATTAAATATTAAAATATAAATATTTTATATATATATAATAATAAGAATTGATATATATATAAATATTATAAAAAGAATATATAATTTATAATAAATTTATTTTACTATAAAGTTATTAATATAAAAATTATATTTTTATTAATATAAATATAAATAAATAATATGTGTAATAATATATTTATATATATATATATATATATATATATATTTATATAATTATATATTTATTCATATCTTTTTATATATATAATAGAATTAAATGAAGAAATTTTGACTTAAATGAAAATTGTACCAGGACATTAAATAAAAATTTTAAAAAAAATTGAAAATTTAAATTTATTATAAAATAATTTTTAATAAATATAAATTAATAAACCTCCAATATAAAAAAATAATTTAAAATCGATTTTAAGAAATCAAATTTAATAAAATTTTAATGGAAAAAAATAAGAAATATTAAAAGAAACAAAAGAATAAATATTATTAGGAAAATAAAATGAGAAAAATAAACAGGATTAATAAATATAAACAAATATTTTATAAGATAATAATTAATAAGAAAATTAAACTATTATAATTCAAAACAAAAAATAAATTGAAGATAAATGCATTAGTGTAGATATTATTCCTAATAATTAAAGTTAAAATTATAATTGCTGGTAATGTTATATAAATATAAGAGATGGAAAGATTTTCTAAAGTTTTAATAAAATTTTTTGTTCTAAAAAATGTTGTGATAGTTATAAAGAATATTACATTGTAAATAATTATTTATATAAAAATAATAAATAAATAGGTAAAATGTTAATAATGTGAAAAATTAGAATAAAAATAAAATAGTATATTTTTATAAGGAAAATGGTATTGTAATTAAGATTGCAAAGAAAAAATATAATAAAATATATAAGAAAATAATATTAAAGAAAAAGATGATGATTTTTTAAATTAAAATAAAATAGATGAATATTAGCTTTTAGAGAAAAAAATAAATGATAAATAATAAATATAAAAATAATAATAAAAAATAAAAAAATAAAAAAATATTCTGAGTATATAAAATTTGGAAAATAAATATAAAATGATAAATTAATAATAAAATAATAATTGATTGTTTGTTATTGTATTAAAATAAAAAAAATATTAAGCTAAAAAATATAAATAAATATATATATATATATATATATATATATATATATATATTTATAAATCTATATATATATATATATTGTTTTTATTTTTTTATTTTTAGTTTATAATTTAATTAATTTATTAAAATAATATTATCTGTTTTTTTTAATTTTTCTTTTTAATTTTTTAAAAAAATGTTTTCTAAAATAAATTACAATTAGTGTCGATTTAAACTATAAATTCACTAAGAAATTTATTATATTTTTTCTATAATATCTAAAATAATTCTAGTTATCCAATCTTATAAAATATAATTTTTGTTTTTAATTAAAATAGTAAATTATTGTTTAGCAAAACTTATTATTTGATTGTAATTATAAAGTCTCTTATTTTGAATATCATCCAATATATTTTAAAGTAGTTATGATAATTTGATTTTAATTTCGAAGCTTCTTTATATTTATTATTAAGTAGAATAAAACATCAAGAAGTCGCAAACTTCTATTATTTAATTTTAACTTGTTAAATGCATTTCTAAAAATTCCAAAAAGTCTATTATACTAAATTCAGAATAATTTTTTTGCCATTCTATAATTTATTTTTGAGTAAAAAAATATAGTTAATTATTTTATTAAAAATCCATTAATTTTTTACTAATTAAAAATAAAATATAAAATAAATTAATTAATTAAACAAAGATATATATTTTATTTTTATTTTAAAAAAATAAATAATTGAAATAAAAAATGTAAATAGAAACTGAAAAAAGACCTATTTATACATTTTCTCCTGGACCATGTTCTTTACCTTTAAAAGTGTAAGATAATTGTTTATAGACTATATTTTCTTATAATAGTATAACAAAAACTCTATATATAAATCATATATATTTTTATATATATATACAAACAAACAAAAGATCTAGGATATGGTACATTAGAATTATAGTCAAATTAAAAAGAATTTTAATAAATATACACTGAGACAATTTAAGAAATATAAAATTTATTCTAAGTGCCTTAAAACTATAAGATTTTATTAACTGAAGGAGGTGCTCATATGTATAATTCTTCAATTCCTTTAAATTTAATGTCTAAAGATGCCCATAGTAATTACTTAGTGACTGGCTTTTGGGGAAACCGATCTTATAATGAGGCTAAAAAATACGGAAAAATTAACTTAGTACATGATATTCTTCCCTAAATGAACCATATACCGGATTAAAAAGACTGGAAATTAGAAAAAAACGCCAGTTATCTACATTTTACTGATAATGAGACTTTGACAGGTATATAATTTAGATAGCCTCCCAAATTAGATGGATAAATTCTAGTTTCGGACATGACTTCTTCTTTGGGTAGTAAAAAAGTCAATATAAATGACTATGGATGTATATATGCGGCTTCTTAAAAAAACATAGGAGTATCTGGATGTGCAATAGCCATTATTAGAAATGATCTTATAGGAAAATGTTAAGATATAACACCTTCATATATGGATTTTGGAAAATTATCGAAAAATCCTTTTGAATTTGGATAATGTGTTTACCCTATTTATGTAGTTTATGAATATATGAAATATCTGAATTCAGCTCCTAATGGAATTTAGTATTGGGAAGATTTAGCTTAAAAAAAATCTGATCTTATTTGGGTATTTATATCTATATTATGTATATATATATATATATTTAAGCAAACTATCGATTCTTCTAATGGATTTTATATACCTTATTGTATTAATACAGATTAAAGATCCACTGTTAATATTACTTTTAAATGTGATGGCGGTATTTATATATATTTATATTTGTATATATATATATATATATCTATTATATAGGAGATCATTTAGATAATAAATTTGTTTAAGAAGCTTTTGAAGAAGGATTAATTGAATTAAAAGGACATCCTGCTACTAGTATATTTATATTAGTGTTTTATATATTATTTGTTATTATACATTAGAGGGTATAAGAGCATCTATATATAATGGAACTTAAGTAGAAGGCGTAAAAAAGCTAAGAGATTTTATGTAAGATTTTATAGAAAAAAACAAAGTAAATTAATTTAATTTTTAAATATATAAAATAATTAGATATTTATTATATAAAAGAAATAAAATTCTATAATATATATATATATATATATTAAATAATCACATTTTTTTATATATATATAAAATAAAAAAAATAGAATTGAAAAAATAAAATACCACCAATAATAATTTCTTATATATATTTATATATATTTATATATAAAATATACAAAAAAAATACTATTCTCATTCAATAGTAATCTTCTAGATATTATTTTAAGTATTTAATTCTCTCTAAAATAATAACAGATTCTTCATAAATATACTAGCTTGGATGCTCTTGATTTTTTTCTATATATTCAATAAAATTATTATCTTCGAATTATTTAATAATATAATTAATTTTCTAAAAATCCCCAATTTAAAAATGTAATATAAAGTTTATAATTTTCAATAAAAGTAAATGCATTTAAACCTAAGTTTAATGATTCCAGAACTCATTTTTGATACTTTATATAAGATTCCATTTTTAATCTAAATCAAAAATAATCAATTGGAAATTTTCCGCACTAATATTTTCTAATATACTGTAAATAAACTTAAAAATTTCCTATTTAGCACTTTCATTTACAAATTAAATTTCTAAAATAAGTTTTTAAATGAAATTTTGAATGATTTCATTTTTTTAATTTTCCTATATATAAATACACTTATATAAATAATGAATATTTTTCACGGCTTCCTATTTAATTAGATTGAGTTTTGAGTTTACTTCCTTTTTTAGACATTCGATTAAATAAGTATATATTTTATTTAAAAAGAAGATTAAAAAATCCTTATTATTATCTACTATGGACTTATTTATTATTTTAAATATCGGAATTATCACTAGGCTATCTTCTGTTTTTAATACACTTTCGATAAATTCGATGAAATCTTCCCCTTTTAAAATTTCGTATTTTTTTCTTTCAAAAGTATTGAAAAAAGACTCTCAAAAGCATAAGATAAGTCTGTTTATAATTCCATATTGTTATAATTTTGGAAAATAAGGCTTAATCCTTTCACGTTTTTTTAGATTATTTCAGTGTCTTTTTATTATTGGAGCAAAATGCCCAATATCCAGGAGATTTTCTAAAAAATATATAGATTTTCTGCTGTTTTTGGCGCCTTTTATATTAAAATATAAATCCTATCTATTATTTCTCTATTCATGAAAAAGCCAGCTATTTTTACCTAACCTGAGGCCATTATATTGCCTATAAAATATAATAAAGGCTCAGAAATATCCCTTTCTTCATAATATTTAATGAATAATTTATATGAAATTTCTAGGAAATTGTTCTCGTATAAAATTTGACATTAGAGATAATTTCCTCTTGAAATATGTGCCAAAACCTTCAAAAAAACAACTAAAAATTCCCTATATGTGACTAAATCATATTTTAAAATGCATTTTTTTAGTTATAAAATAAAGTCATTTTATCGTAATAAAATATTGATTATTTCATATAAATCGTCTATTTATAATTATTCTCCGAATTCATTTTCTTCATCTACTTAAAGCTCTTCGAAATATATTAATATTTATTTATTTATATTAAAAAAAAATATAAGATTTAAATCGTTTTGACATACTTAGGTTAATAATATTATATTTTCTTTATATATAGATATATATTCATGGTTTTTTGGTATTTCCTTTAATTTATTCTATTTAAAAATCTCGAATTCTTAATCAAAAGTGAGTTATAGGGATGTTTTTTAACGGTTTGAAGCTATTTTTTCTATTCTTTTTTATTTTCGGATCTCGATAGTGTATTTTTGTTAAAGAAGGGATTTTCGGTGTTTTTCGTATGTTTATGGAAGTTCTTTATTATCCATTTTTTTTTTTTTATATATATTTTTTAGAATGTATTAAATTATTACAAATATAAAAATACTTTTTTTTTTATATATTTTATAAATATATATTATATATATATTTTAGAAAAAAATGTTTATAAATTACCTTTATTTATATTTAATACAGAAAAAAATATATTAAATGCATATATATATATATTTAATATTAGAAAATAATTATATATTAAAATCAGAAATAATATATTAAAAGTATATATATTAATTTAATACTAGAAATAATTTTTAAATAAATATTTATATTAAAAATAGAAAAAATATATTAAATATAATTATTTATTAAGAAATAAATTTTTATATATATTTTAATTTTATTTATAATATAAAAAAGTAATAATATATTATATGTATATATTCATTTAATACAAGAAATTATTTTTATAAAAATATTACCTTTATTTTTAATATAAAAACAGGATATAATATACGATATGTATATATATATTTTATACTAGAAATAGTTTCCTTTATTTATTATATAAGAACAGAAAAAAATATATTAAATGTATATATATTTATTTAAAACTACCATATAAACATTTATATTATCTTTATTTATATTAAAACATAAAAAAAAAAATTAAATTAATTTAACTTTTGTAAATAAATATATGTAAATTACCTTTTTTAAATATAAAAAATAAAAAAAAAAATTAATAATATATTAGATACATAAAATATTTTTTATTAAAAACAATTTTATCTATATTAAAAAAATAAATATATATCTATATTATAAAAATAAAAAAAAATACCTTTATATATTATAAAATAATAAATATATAATTATACTAATTTTTATCTATTTTATATATAATATTTTACATTTTTTTTTTTTTTTAATAAAATTTTATTTCATATATTATTATTTTTTTAAAAAATAAAAAAAAAATGTTTTTAGTTGATTATTATTAACAAAATATAAACAAAAACGAATAGATTTAAGAAAACTTAATCATGCATTAAATATAAAAAAAAAGCAATTTTTAATAGAATTATTTAACTTTAAACTAAAAGCCAGGATAAGACTATAATTATGGTTAATTTTATGAATTAAATATTGAAAAATTAGAGATTATAAAATAGGAAAAAGAATTAAAGAAAAATAAGTTAAAATCAGTATAATCTGAAAACAAATAATCACAAAACTAAGATACTTTTATTAAAGAAGAAGAAGAATAATAACTTTAAATGTAAAAAGAATACACAGATATAAATCAATTATGAACTTATGATTTATTTAAAAAAAAAATAAAAAACAATATTTATAGTAATATACCCTAGACCAACCCAAAAAAAACACTATAATCGACGAAATGTACCAAAATTCCGATTCTTCCGTCGAAAATACAATAAAAAATGAAGAAAAAGACAAAGAAACACCTCAAGAAGACTAAAAAACATAAATAAAATCATATATATAGGAAATAACCTTTAAAACATCAACTGAGGATAAAAAAAGATTCTTCTATTAACCAATATAAAAAGGAAAAACTATTTAAATGACTATAAGACGTTAAAAAGGTATTTTTGGCGCATTTTAAACTATATATAATCTTTATATGTCTTATTAAAATTAATAGTTTTTACTTTCAGCAAAAAAACGATAAAAACACTACTATATGATTTAAATGAACCCTAATTATTTTAGTAAAAAATCTACAGATTATATAGGAAAAATAAAGGGTAATTCTTCAAAAATATAATATATTATATACGATAATGGGGAAAATCCGAAAAAATGTATTCTTTAGGAAAAAATAAGAGAAGAATGGGGAATTGTACAATAATTTTATGATGAAAATAAATAAATTTAAATAAAATTTATTATTCCAGGTATATAAAATGATTATTAATAATATAATTTAAAGAAATAAAGCCTAATAGAGGCATAAAATTAAAACAAAGACAATTTTATTTAGCTTTTTAAAAAAAAATAACCCTGGTATGATAATTTTTAAAATTTTGTTAAAGATTACAATGGAAGAGCAAGTATAGGAAGTGTTAAAAATATGCAAATTTATATGGAAAATGATTTAAATAATATCGTATTGTAAATTGGAAAAGATAAAGAAAATGAGTTTAATATAGATGTTAAATATCCTTTTTCAATTTTTTAGGCTTATGCTATTGCTTTATATTAATTTGATTTTACAGCATAGATATGAAATAAAATATAAATAAATATAATTTAAAACAAAAAGATATGATTTTAAATTTAAATGTTTAAAAAATAAATAATATGAAAATTAAAATTTATATATTTTATTAAAAAAAAATATATAATTCTTGTAATTATAAAAAAAAAAAATTATAGAATAAAAAATTTAAATTTAATAATATATCATTAAACATTTTATATAGGATAATTATATCTAAATTGAATTAGCAAAAAATAATATTAGAAATTTTATAGAAATATATTAAATATGTATTATTATAAAAAAACAAAAATATATATATAATTATTTATATAAATCTATAAATATATATATTTATATAGATATATATAATTATAAATTTAATTATAATATTATAATAATTTATATTTATATATAAATAAATATGGTTTATTTTTAAATTTTTAATCATTTATCTAATTTATATTTTATAAATATATATTATTAATAGCCATATTATATACGTTTCATAAATATATATAAATAATTTTATATATTAATATTACCACATTTATTCAAATATTTTTCTATTAATATTTGATATATATTTAGATATAAATTTTAATATTTTTTTCTATTGATTTATTTCTATAATATTTATTATAAATATGAAAAATAAAAAACTTAAAATTAATTTTTCTTAAAAAATTGAACTTTCCCCTTTCGAAAAGTATTTAAAATACGATCGATTTCCTTATAAATTTGTTATTCACGTTTTTCTCGTATTTTTGACAACATACATAGTCTACGATCTTTCCATATAGCAATCACATTAAAGAGTATTTCATTAAATATACAAAAAAGTTCTTTTAGACTCCACCGATGAATTAAACATTAAATAATTTTTAAATATAAATTATTTCAGATCTCATTTATAAAATCTATGTAATAATCTTTTGAATTTAAATTCTATAATTTTATAGGACATAGATACATCTTAATCTGATTATTTTTTAGAAAGTTATTTTCAGAGTTTTAATATTACAAACTCCCGTTAATCAAAAATTCCATTAAAATTAAATAATTAATCTTGTTTTTAATAGCCTTTTAATTCTACAAATAATCAGGAAATAAAATAATATATTAACAACGTTGCCAAAATGAGTTTTATTGCAAAAAAAATATATTCATTTGACCCTTGTTTAATATGGGATATATAAATAGATTATAATTTCGACTCTTATGCTGATATTCGTGCTGAGTTTTTCACTAATAGCAAATTATGTGCCAATTAAACACTTTAAAATAAAATAGGGATCGCTTATATTCATTTAATTTTGATTATTTTAGCGTTATCTTCTTTATTTTTATGTATTAAAAATATGTACGATATCGGGAATAAATACATCAAATTTAACATTATATTTGAAAATGCCTAAAAAGAGTATTTTTAATAATAATAAGAGGATGAAAACACTAATAAATTATGGAATGATATAGGAATTTTATAAAAATTAAAATTTTATAATATATGGTATTTAATAGCCATTTTTGGTAATATCATATAGATATTAGGATCTTTTATTTCTCTTTTGAAAATCTTGACTTTCGAAAATCTAGAAGTATATAAATATAATGAGATTATTATTGGTTTCGGGTGTGCTTTTGCATGGATTCTTATGTTAAATTATTTATAATATACAGAAAAATTTAATCTTACTTCCAATGTGATTATATACTCTTTTTCTAATATGGTTTGGTTTTTTATAGGAGTTATTCCATTGTTTTTTGGGTTTGTATTTCTTTTTTAAGCTATTTTTTGGAAGTATTCGAAATTTGAGTATACAAGCTTTACTGCTGTGTCTCTTTTTGCAATTTTAGATGGGGATATTAATATGGAAATTTTATTTGAAACTTTTGAGGATGGGATTTTTTCTTAATTGGTAATTTTTGTATTTATGTTACTGTTTTTATTGGCTGTTTATAATATATTGATTATTATTATCATGGAAGGGTATTATGAACATAAAAGAATTTAATAGGAAGAAGAGGAAAATGAAAGAATTAAAAATAATGAATATAATAAAGGTATATTTTTAGAAAAAATAAATAAATAAAAATATAGTATAATATAAAACTTTTTTTTTTTTTGTTTAAGATTATTATTATAAATTAATGATTTTTTTTTTTTTCTATATTATAATAAATTAACATTTTTTTTAAAGATTTATAATAAATATAACATGAAGGATATAGTTTTTAGAAGATTTAGGATGGTCAAGAAAGTTATTATTAATAATTAGTTAATAAATTAAAGGCTAATAATAAAAGAATTGCTAAATTGTTAGATAAAATAAATTAAATAAATTAGAAAATTTAAAATTAAGATCTTTTATAAAAGGATAAAAATTATTTAATTAACATTTATAATAGTAACCTAGATAATATTGATAAAAGTATCAAATTTTAATTAGCAAGCATGAGAATATGAAATTGTAAATAATATAGAATAAATATTAAAAAAGTAATTGAAATTTAAAAAGTAAATAAATACAAAAAAAAAGATAAAATATTATTTTTCGATTTATTTAAAAAAATAAATAATTAAAATTTAATATAATAAATAATATTATAAAAAAATGTAACTTTTTTATTGTATAAATATACATATGTAATATTAATATCTAATATATATATATATATATATATAATATATATATATATATAAATTTATATATATATTAATTTATTATATTTTATATATTTCTTTTTATATATAATTATTTTTTAAAAGAAATTTTCTTTTAATATTTTTTTTTAATATTTCATATCTTTTTTTATTTTTAAATATCATTTTCAAAAATAATTTTATATAAATTTTATTTTTTTAATAAATGATTAATTAAAATATAATTATTTATATTTTATTTTTATTTCATTTCATTATAATTTATTTTTATTTTTTATAATATATTTTTTACATATATATCTACATATTATATTCTTTTTTAAAGTATTTTAATTAGTTTTCATTTTTATCTTATTTTATTTTCATTTTTTTAATTATATTTTATTATTTATTTAAAAATATATACTTTTTTATTTATTTAATTTAATTTTATTTTAATACTAAATTATATATATCGATTTCTATTAAGATTATGTATAATAAATTATATTTTAGATATTTTTAGCATATAATTTTTATATTCTTTAAATTTTTAATTTTTTTATAATTAAATAAAAACAGAATTTTTTATTTTTATATAAATATCTAATAAATATAAAAATAACATACAATTCGATTTAAAATTCCTCGAATTTACGATAAAGAATCTGCTTTTTTTATAATAATTATTTTTTATTTTTAATTTTTAATTCTAATTTTAAACTACTACTTATAAATGTTTATACCTATATATAAATCATATTTGTATTCCTATCAATTACCTTTTTCTTTAAACTATATATATATATACCAGTTTCTAAATAAGCATTCTCTATAAAAATAGTTAATTCTTTTACAATATTCCTAAAAAGATATTGGTACTTTTTCATATTTGTAATTCTACTAGTATATTATTTTTATGAATTTATAATTCCTATAAAAAAGGCAAATAATTTAGCTTAACGCGGAATCCTGACATTGACTAATTTCCATATTAAGACTCTAAAAAGGGTTATGAAAGATTCTCTTCTGGAATATATATTTAATTTTTCTTTTTGAATTTAAACAGTATGTATTTTTAAAATTTGGGGAGTTTATCTATTTATTTACATAGATGAACAGTTATATTAGTTCTTATGGTTTATACTATTTTGGCTTTTCACATGTATCATATTCTAATAAGTATTTAGTATATTAGTATTTACTTATTATATTTTTAATATTTTTTAATTCAATTTAAAATAAAATAAATATTTAGTTTGTATGAACAAATTTTCAAGCTAGTTTCTTTATTTTTAATTATTTGTTATTTAAGGTCTTTTTTTATATTATAATAATTATTTTCATAAATATAATACTAATGGTATTGTAGTGATATTTATAAATACTAAAAGAAACACATAGTAAGTTAATTTTAAAATGGAAAACTATAAAATTATAATATAATACTATTTTAATTTATTATAAAATGTTTAAAATTTATGAATTTTAAATATAAATATAATTTTTATGTTTTTTATAATAAAAAAAAAAATGCATTTATCCCTGTTTTTTGTATATTGAATATTTTAAAAAGATATATATAAAATAAAAAGTAAACTATAATAATTGCTAATATGCATTTATTAATTAATATATATAATTATTTTCTTAATAATTTGTTCATATATTTATTTTATTAATTTATTAGTTAATTTGTTTATAAAAATTCAATTTAAAAATAAAAAAAAGGTAAAAAATATATAATCAAATAATATAATTTTTATATAAAATTTTAAAAATAAAAAAATATTAAATGTAATACTTTTATTTAATTAAAAAAAATTTTAATATTAGTAAATTTAAATATATTTAAATCTAAAAATAATTGAAAATTTTATATGTATAAATTTGAAATAAAAAAGAAAATATTATATAATAAATTAATTTCGAAAAATTTAATAATAATTTAATAAATTAAAAATACTTTATTTATTAAAAAATAATATGAATGCATCTAAATAAATAAAAAAAAAATGTATATATATAAATATATATATATTTATATATATATATGTATTTTTATATTTTTAATTTATTTTATATTTAAATTATATATATCAATTGTTATATTTTCTAATTACAATTAATTTAATCTTCAGTAAATATTAGTTTCTAATCAAAAAAAGTAAAAATCAATAATTAATATAAATATAATTAAAAATAAAATTAAAATATATACATATTATTTATAATATAAGAATGGGTTGTATTATAAATTTTTTTTAAAAAGATACTGAGGTTTTATATAGAAATAGTTCAACTTCATTTAGCGAAAGAATTTCATTATTTAATATAACTAATATTTTCAAAATAAATAATAAACATGACTATATATTTTTTGGAATGCCTTAATATAATTAAATAATTTAAAGTTTAAATTAAATTGTATGTGGAAAATATTCTAAGTATGAAACTGAAGAATAAATAAAAAAATA